TCATTTGTGAGCACAATGTCCAATATAGACAGCTACTTTGCTGTGTTGAATCTGGTGGGGATGTGACATAGTTGTACAAGAGAATATTAGCGAACATTTTATGCCAATCTGCTTTGAATTGTTCATTTGGCGATGCTAATTCCTCCAGATCCCGCACATTGAAGTCACTGGCGACGAAATTGTGGCTGTACCTGTGGCACGTTACCCTGTTCAGTGCAAATATTATGGGAGAATCCATTTCCGTTGAGCTTGGAAGAGGGGCGTTAAACAACAGCTCCGAGACACGCGTCGTGTCTTAGCCGGAGAGATTACCCGAGAATCCGTAACATAGGTTTCCGGATCCTTAAATTTTGCACCTTGTAGGTGAGTGTGATTGTTGGTAAGAACTGCACCTCACTTGCTGCGGCGGTCGTTTCGGCTGTGTGATATTCCTGCTGCCCTTAAATCAGCATTAATAATTTCCTAGTGTAAGTAGGTTTGGGTACTGGAAGTTATGCCTAAAGCATTTGCGACGTGATGTACCCGAAGTTAGGTAAGTTTACTGAGGATCTCTTGGACATTAGTATAAATACATACAAGGTTCTAAGATTTCCTTTAGCGCAATTCATATGTGGTTTTGCCTACCAGTTTTATGGATGAGTATTTGTTGACTGACTGCATAGTTAATTCCATATCTATTCAACCACGCGCAGCGTGCATTGCCTGGTCGCGTAGCTCCTCAACAGGTTGTATGGATTCATCAGACACGCTACCGGTGTGCTATCCTATTATAATACCCAACACGTTTGCCTCGTGTAATATATAATCTAGGGATCGCATGTCACTCGCTAGGTTTAGCTAAAGTTCTGATGGCATCCTGCAATGAAACATGCACCATTTTCTGTGGCTGTGCTAGCTTTTGTTTGCATTTTCAGACAACTTCCTACATTTTCGGGCCCAATAAGTTGTAGTTGGGTGAGATGCGCATACGTGACACCGCTTTCGCTAGCACATCATCCAAGGAGAGCCAATTAGGAATTTAACACGATAATTTCCATTCTTGAGCTGTTGATTCATGCTCATCGTATGCTTCAGTTCTAGGAACACCTTCGACATCAGTGGCTTGAGTTTAAACTTCTCTCTATTGGTCTTCTAAGCTGCGACTAAATCGACTACGCTCGCTCCATGGTATTCTGCATGGACATGTGTACACTTCTGAGTCGACCTGCCGACAGCAGAACTGAGTCTACTTCAGTGATAGTGTTCAGCAGAACGAGCAGAATTCTTTGCTTCCATAATGCTTAGCAGTTAGATGCCACATGATTTGCATAATATGTACGGTTTTCAACACAGCTACATTTAGGTTACTAATGCCGCTCCAATGCTTCTGGGCGTCTAACTACCTGTCTCTAATTGAAGTTGAGTTTGATTCTAGAATATTGGAGCACAGTGAGCGCAATACATGTTGCTGTTGCGTCGCATATTTCGACATGTATCGGGTAGTTAATTAATTACGCGGAGATGTACCCCAGGAAACCGTTAGTGCTGCCACCAGCAGAAACCAGCTTTGGTTTCAGTTTAAGGTCCCGTAAGGGTGTTGCCAATTTCAAACGTCAGCCATTCTTGGAAGCAACTGTAACCCAACTTTCACTAGGAACAGCTTTCATATTGCTATTCACTTAGTCACAAATTTGTAAAAGTCTTGCGTGCAGTTGATTCGATCGAAATGAGGACGGAGGTATTAGCATCTGAGTCACCTGGTAGTTGAACAGTGATTGAGTTTCCGAGCTATTGATTTCCTTTTTTATGGTGTTACGAGTTGTCCTCCTTTGGATTGGGGCAGCACGGTCTGGAGAGTTCTGGGTTGCACAGTCTGCTGTGCTTAGCTCAGCTGTGTTGCCTTTGTTACCACCATGTTCTTAAAATTGGCAAATAGCTGCTTGTATTTCTGAGAAAATAGGAGCACGATTTTTATCAGCTGATTAGCGGTGCATTTCAAGCGGAACCAGAGAGAACCTGGCTTCTTTAATAGCTTAGCCTGCCTAGCTTTCACTCCGCCGCATTGCACGTGGAAAAGCTTGCATCAGTTGCGACACGGAGTACGCTCTTTGACAACTGTGCCACGCGATCTACACATGCCTTTTGCGTGAGGCATACTATCATTTGCACGCTTTGAGCGAATGGAACGACCATTCGGGTGACTCAACCTTGATATTTGGCAGCCGTTCTGGTGTACCTGACGTTGACGCCGACGTCATACCGTCCAATTCGCACTTGTGTGGTTGCAAACCGTCCTTTCTGGCGTACTGGTCGAATGCGTCAGCGTGCTCGAGAGGCCCGTCTCACAATGGTTTGATACAGCCGCTTTAGCATATGAATCTCCCTGTGGTAAAGTTGCCAAAAGACCATGAGAGGTTCGCTGCCAAGAAGCGTAAGTTAACCTATAGTTTTTCCAAACAATGTTGGAATTGAATAAATGAGAGTTCAATCCAACGCTTTAGAAAAGCTCGTTTGCATGAGCCAAAACAATAGTTCCCACGGTTGAAAGTACGAAACTGTGATATCAGCGAGACATTGCTTATAAATTAGCCTTCAGGTAAATGTAGGATGCACTGTTGTGTACCCAAGGAAATGGTATTATTAGGGGAACCTTGTTAAAGCAAGAAGAGTGCGTATAGATTCATTGGTATGCGACCAACTGCCGCTGAAATACAACGAGACAACCAAGGGTTCACAAATGCGTTATTAGTAGGCACGTTCCCTCAAGAGCACTCCTTGTCTACGAAGGGTAAATGATGACATTGACATCTAACTGGCTTGTGGGAGATATAAACGTATAAGTGTAATTTATGGGATCTGCTACAACAGGCAGAGCGAGGGCAAGGAGTTCCCGAGCATAATGCATCACTATCCTTAAAAATCCAGACTGGGTTTGACGGAGAATATGTTAGACGAAGCTATTTGTCTCTCTTTAATGTACAAATTAGTAGGCTATTGTGAGACATGAATGAAATTTGTAGAGACAATTGGAACACAGGATTTCTCTTCATACTTTTTCTGAAGTGGACTAAAACCACAAAATTCCTTTATCTTTTGGCTTTTACTTGTTCGAAAGAACATAATGCGTTGCATGTCAGGCATATATATACCTTACAGGACAGTTGTTGGACGGGTGTTTCTGCCTATATGTTCCCTTCTCCCTAAAATCACCGTGTGTTCAAGGTTGGTACGTTCTTAGAAATTTGCGCGCAATCAAATGGCCTACGTGGCATGTTATGTGTCTGGATAGTTCGCTAAGAATTCGCTATGTGATGTAGAAAAGATACTGAGGTTTAAGAACAAAATTGTCCGATAGCTACCTCACTTAGTAGTCAACAGCTGCAATTGATAGCACATCGTACATATCTCGGATATATTCTGCGTGTGCGACCACAATTGTTGCTATTGGGGAGACAAAACTTTTTGCATGTTGATCCGCACCTAGTTAGTCCGAAAGCTGATATGTCCAAAATAACGTAAGTGATGTTGGATCGAATAAGAGTTAGCAGACATGAGTGTAATGAGAAATGTGCTAACAGATCAATTCTAAGTACATGGCCCCATATAATGCGACCGCATGACTGAAGAAGATTGCAAGCGATCGATACTTCGTTAAAAAAAATTGAAGTTGAGTGAAAATTTATCATGAACGCACTTCACGCCAAGTATGCACTGTTTATGAGAGAAAGGGTTTTCACCCACACTGTGAGGAACATACTGGTACACATCGCTATATTTGGTTTACTCCAGCTCGGAGAACGTGTATAACGTAAAGCCAACTAATAACATATTAGAGTCTGTATTCCAACAGACGTATTAAAGTTCTAGGTATATCCAGAAAGGGAGTTAAGGATGATATCAGCGACTTAACATACCTTCTAAATTGTATCCAGTAAGGAATACAAGCAGCAGCGCGATCGATGCTCCCAACATATACTGGCTGCAAAAGCACGTGATCGCACCAATATATTGTAAACCTGCTCCACGAATCGCTCCACTGCATACACTCTGAGTAGGTCAAAGGTAAACAAGCATGGTATAACATTCGGTTTCTGCTGCCCTGCAGATTTTCCCTTCTATACAACTTAGGAAAAACGTAAAACATCATCTATTACCTCAGTGAAAAACGGTATTCACAACATTTAAAACTAATTTATTTCTCACAGTAACGAACAAACCAGTTGCGGCTGCCCGAATAATGCATCCTTATAGCTAGAGCCTTGCCTATCCATGTAAGAAGAGTTGCCTTAATTTCACTAATTTAGCTAGTTTATACCACAGTTGTCGTTGTCGGAAATTTAAATGAATAGTTTTTCTGGCATACATATTCAGAATTGTAACATGCACTTATTTTATGCTACGTACGGAAAACCTCCTACTTGTCTACATAAATACAGAATAGATCAGAACCATATGGAAGCAGATGTCAAGGAATAATTATGCAAGGCAAGATCACTTGAATAATTGCAGTAGTCAGTGCTTTGTATTGGCACTCCAAATCCGATTAAGTACTTTGGTGTCGCTCTAAACTGCAATTGTCACAGGAAGTTCAAGTGCTATTTCGGCAACTGCGATTCCATTATTTGCTGGACTCCAAGATTTCATCAATATTAACAACAATTGACTATAAAAAGATGTAAAGATTGCCTTTCGGAAGCCATGACAAAAGGATGCAGTGTTAAATTTTTTACTTTACATATTCCGTGGCACGAGGTCACCAGTCTTGGCATTACATACCTTGGCTCATTCATGAAATCCTCAAGATTTCGCCATCAAGTTTGACTGCGATTACTCAGCATTGAGCATTTGGGTATGAAAAACTAATGGCCGATAATTTGAAGAACCCACATAAGAAACCATTTAGCTATCAGATTGATAACGGGGAATTTCATTACCAATATTGGGTTCTCTACAAACTAGCCAATGAAGGTCAATGCAGAAATTAGTGACATTACTACAACTGAGGAGAAAAAGCAACGCACCGATGTTCCATCAAAAATTTGGAAGGCGGCGATGATGGGAAGCAGATGAGCGACCAATTTGGAAACTTCACTATAACAAATAAACAACTGATTATATGGTGTGGTTGCAGCTTGTGTGGTAAATGTTAAAGTAACCACATGTATCAAAACATTTAACAAAAGGGTTGAAACATAACCTGTCTGAGGTGAAAGCATTTGGTATTTGCCATCTCAGTAAGATCACGCCCATTGCGACCATCGAGGTTAGGAACCCTGAAACATGTTAGTTGAGTAAACTGGTTGACTTACAAGCCATTATCAATGCGACGGATAGAACCGATTTTGGACCTACGGCAAAACCGGCACCAAGGTACTGGCCAACACGAACATTTGTGGCCATTCCAAAACCCATGGGTACCTGTGTAATAAAGTAGATACAAGTAAACCCTGAAATGTAACGGATTAATATCGATGTACCGACATTAAGTTAAACGAGTTATTCTTGCACCTATCCGCTTGGACTCAATAAATAGAAATTTCTTTGCTTGTTTATTGCCAAACTTATGTGTCGCATTGATGTTTATTAAAACATTGGAAGGCTTGCTTTAAACAATTGGCTAACCCCATGCTGTTTCTTCGTCCACATGAGGTTTCCAGTTATCAAGTTAGATAAAAATAAGGAAATGAAAACTGCTGTCATATTTATAAGGACATTTGCGATTTTAATCGTAATCTCAGTATGATCTAATTTATCCTGATCTCCGTTGAGCTTTTACGTCTGATTCTGTATGCAGCAGTTGCGTTAACAGCTGGAACCTTCTATGGATATGATTTGCTTCTAGTGATATATATTATCGCAAAACTCGGTCCTACAGGGACAATGGGTTTATTATGTAAAACATGCTCAGCAAAAATGACAGCCTGACCAATCTTTATTAAAGGAATGGTTAGAGGATGCATTCAAACATGTGCTTTGTAACGCGGGACAATACAAGGTCGCAAAGGAAGGGAATCAGTCTTTCCTGTGGATGCACCGCAATGGGCCAAACCCAAACGCCCCAGATGGAAGAGCCACTGCCGAAATTGTATTTGAACGAAAGCTCCGGAACTCGTTCGGAAAACATGTGCCGAGCAGAAAAGAAAAGCATTGTAGTTGTTCAGTATAAAAATATCCGACAGACATGCTCTGTCATTGCTGTCGGCTACATACAATTGTCATAAGCACAGAAGTGGGATGACCTTTGGCCTTTCCACCGAATTCGGGCATCGACTGCGAATTGAACAGCCAGCAACTACTACCTGCGTCAAAGTAATCGAACTAATCCGTCAATTTAGTAAACCCGTGGAACGGAATTTACTCACACTGGCTGAAAAGCAGACGCCGAAGTGAGTGACCATGGCTTCCAAAATTAGCTTGTTACGTTTACCAATAAATAGAGTTGAACTATCCTGTAAAAACTCTCTCTGTCTACCGAGTGCTGACCTTTTATATTCTTTCCGTTGGCTGGCCGCCTGATTCAGCAGACAGAAAATCGCAGTCTCAGATGGCAGCAAAGCAGCAGTACAATACCGGAGTGTACATTAGATCCATGTCGTACTTTTGGAGCCCGATAAGCACCCGTTGCAGTTGTCGTGGGACACTGAGTAACGGTTTATTATCTATTGACATGGACAGTTTATTGTCAGGATACACTGTAATGTTCCTTCCAAAGGGGCAAGCCTTGAATCGCTCCATTGCATAGACGACAACGTGCATCTCTTTTCTATCTGTGCATAGCGCTGTTTCGCCACTGTGAGATCCCGACTGCGGAAACCAAGGTTTTTCTATCCTGCAGGAGAACGGCACCTACGCCACTTTGGTTGATTAGCACTGCACCTCCAAAGGTAGAGCTGGATAATAGTAACCAAATATTGCAGCACAGTTAATCAGAGTCGACGTTTGTAAATGCTAACTCCTGCAGCTAGTTCCAACCCCCATTTACACCATTGTGAATCAGCCTCCGGATAGGCGTCATGCTTTCCTTAAATCTCGGAAAGAACTGGCTCAAATAAATTACTATGTCATTTAAACGACTAACAGCCTTGATGTCCTAAGATTAAGGCATCTTCTGCGCCACCTTATTGTTTCCTGGAATCGACCTTTATTCATTTGGATGCCAGCACTTGCGCGTGAGAAAGTACTTTCGGTTTCCGGCGCTCAAACTTCTTGCGTTCGAGCTGATGTTCTTCTGCAATCATCGATACAAATGGTTGTGCAGCTTGGCGCCATTTTCCTGGTTGGGTAATCTGTACATCCGTACATGGTCTGATACACATGTTACAACGTCTAGGTCCACCTGGATCTAACCTGTGTGGATTACACCCTGCTCCAGTTCCCAGTTTTCGGCATATTCCTCGCCGAATTCCACTTGTGTAACTATATCAAACCGGTCTTTCGAAAACGATTTGGGTCTCATTCGGAAGAAGAAGTCGTGGACTCCCCAACTACGCGGCAACCATCCCTGTATGTTGAAGCATAACAAACTTACAGCCTTTTTGCTCCGCTCGTCAACTGAGCAGCTCTAGGGACGCTTATCAGCGCTCTACCTGCATCGTCGCTTAAGGCAGGCTGATTAACACACGCTGCCGCTTTGTGTGGGTGTATGTGTACCACTGCGAGTCGATTGATCGCTGAATCCGACAGTCCGCTTGTTACGAACTCCATCTGCCCCTCCGCCTGAATTTGGTGCGGCTGGACAACTCTCCATTCGTGTGCGTGTTCCGACCTATTCGTGCGTCACCCCTAGCGCAAAGTACACTCATAAAGGTAAGCGACAACATAAGCTTTGCTGTAAACAATAAGAGGACAATTAGAATTACGATGGTTCAACGTCGCCTATGTTGTGCAGGCAACTGCAGTAAAGTGCTTAAGATCAGTATTACCTGTTCTAGCTGCATTAGATCATACTGTCCGCAATGTGTAGGCAAATCCGTCCGAGAAGCGAGACAGACAAACTAAGTTGCTGACACAATTTGGTTTTGCCCCACATGTCAAGACATTCCAGTAGTCAACTGCTTATCTTTGCTCATGAAAAAGTGCAATGGGATGACTGAAATAATTGCGCAATTTGTAAATACTAAGATCCCTCCCCCGGAGGTAAATACGGCCACGATAATATCTCACCCGGCCAAAGTAAGCTCTGAGTCGAAACCGAAGAGAAGAGCAAGACGCTCCAACCGAACTGCAGCGTCTGTGACTCTAAATCCACTGGGTCACCTCACTCCCATAAGTGGACAAGCCTCAAACATGCCTGCTTCCACTTCTCCAACCATAGAGGCTTCACTTGGAGATTCATCCATAACACCGACAGCTCAGAGCCGTAGGAAATCCGGTGCAGATAACAAGCAGGTAAAGTACGCATCGATTGCCTCGACAAACACACCGGGAGGGACACACATATGTCTATCTTCAGTACCGAAAACGAGTGGCGCAAAGCAGCTTTAACCGTCAATTCTAAACAACACGCATTGCGGCAAAAGCTATAAAGCTAACACTCGTTAGACAAAACCACGCTGCGTAAACTCTCGTGTGCACCAATGTTCCCAAATCCAAATCTGGAACAATAAAAGGCAAGTTGCAAGACGATCGCAACCAGTGGAGTTCCATCTGCGAGGCAATTAACATTCGGGTTGAGCCTGCAATGCTGCAACGCGTAGAGCGTCACCCGACCTCAGTGCACTCTGGTGAACCTCGAATTCTTCGAGTAACACTAAACTCAGCAGATGAGACAGAGGCTGTCCTGCTCTCAGCCGTTCGTCTTCGCAACTCACCGAGCGGAGTGCGCATATTACCTGATCTACCTTGGAAAGATCGCGTAAAAGAAGCAGTTGACCAACGCTGCATTGCTAATAGAGATAGCAAGAAAACATTATTTGTTCATGGTGTTCCTGAGCTTCTGCATTCTTCTGATCACGATGCAAAAGCACATGACCGTGAGCAGTGGTGCTACATGCTTGAAGCACTCTCTGTTGAAAATGTTATTGCCAAATCCCTGACAAGAGTTCCGTCATCACCTAACTACAAGGGCTGCGGTCCAAGGCTAATGAAAGTAATACTACACTCCGAGGGAATGACGCAAGTTCTGTTGGATAGCTGGTTAAAGTTTCGAGCTAGGCTGACAACAGATATCCGGCTAAAAGCAGCAGGCGAACGACCAAAAGTCGGAAGCAATTCAACGGAACTTGCAAACGCAGCAAATTCCTTATCTGCACAGTCCTGCGGAGAGACCGACACAACTGCGCCCACGGCACACAGGAAGATTGAGCAAAGCACCAGTGAAACTTCTGTTCAGGAACGCTCAATAATTTCATGCAACACGACTGAAATACATAAACCAAAAAACGATTAATCGCCGGCCACCTAACGGCCGGCTTAAAAGCGAACACAAACTTGACATCTGTCAATGAACTCCTAACAACAAAAGCCCTATCTTGCATGTATACAAACGCCCAAGGCCTTCTAAGCAAGTTGGCAGAACTTAGAGAACTCCATGCCTCACAACCGCGGGACCTCGTCATGATTACAGAGACATGGTTAAACCCTGAGATAACCGATTCTGAGATCAATTTACCCGGTATGTCACTGCTTCGGACAGATAGAACCGGAAGGTGGGTGTGATTCTTTATTATAATACAAATCTCCGATGTGAAGTTATCGACCACCCGGAAATCCGAGCTCCCGATTTGCTTTGAAGCCGCCCATGGTTGCGAAACAAGGACACATGCCTACTAGCCGTGATTTATCGCCCACCAAACTCAACTTCGGAAATGGACTCCAAACTGAACCACGTTTTCCAGTTTGCTTTGAACAAGTCCTACACCTACATTCCTATCGCGGGAGACTTTAAGGTGCAAGACATAGAAACGCCGGCAACCGACGGTACGCCGTTTAAAGCCTGCTTGCAAGAGCTTATTGCTAGCCACCCTCTTTACAAACACGTAACCTCTCCCACCAGATTTCGAACTGCTAAGAAGCCGTCGATACTGGATCTTGTGCTCACTACCGAAGAACTCATGGTTAGCGGGATAGTTACAATCACAACACTAGGTCGTAGTGATCATGTTACTCTACTCTTTGGAAACCTGTGCTTTTGTGAAACGATGCACATACTGTGCCAAAAGAAGACATTGTATGTCCGGAAATAATGACGCTAGTACAAATTTCTAACCGAACACGGATAAACGATTAACGGACCAGACACAACTGCTGATAATTCATAAGTAAATTTTGATTTTTCGTAATTCGATAGAGTTGTACAGAAACCTTTCTACTTGCTCTTAAATACAGTCTCAATCTCAGTGTCTGTATGCGTATCCACAGTTATCCCGGAGTTGACAACATCCGACCAAAGGCTCTACAGGCAGTAGCTGGTA